TGACTGAGACTCTCACAGCCCAGCCTATCGCACTATAACTGTTGCTTTGTCGCATTCCAACTCTCGTGTCGCAAGGCGACGACTCATTGCCGCTGGATTGACCCACGGGACCGCCGCTTTGCGAACCTCGAGCCGCGATACTCCCACTTCAACCGACTATTTTAATCAGAGAACCCTTTCAATTCGAACAGGATGGACCATATGGGCTTTCAGGTCCCGGGCATGGCCCCGCCGATCATGAATCAGCCGCCGCAGGTTTTTGGTGGCTACGATGGCATACCGCAGTTGCCCCCAGAGATTGCTGCTCAGATGTTCAACGATTCGGCTATGTTGCTTGAAGATGCAAACGACCCCAAGAGAAGGAGAATCGCTAGGGTATGGGACCTGGGATAGATCCCGGCGCAACCGGTTTTAGAGTATTGCGTGCTGATCGGAACTTCAACAGGCCTGTGATATGTGTCGGAAGAAAAAGATCAAGTGTGACGGCAAGATGCCTTCTTGTACCCACTGTATCAACTATAAGACTGAATGTGTCTTCACACAAGTTGAGAAGAAGCGTGCTCCTCCCAAAGGGTATGACACTGGACCTCATCGCGAAATCATGTGCTTACTGACATATATGAAGTGCCAAGTACATCGAGGGACTCGAGAACCGGCTGAACCGTATGGAGCATCTTTTGAGACTTTCTGGTAAGGGGTTTGAAGAATATGCTTTACTGACACGACCTCGTTATACTAACCTTGTATATACAGGCCTCCTCGACGAAGATGATGATGACCTTGGCGCGCTAGAGAAAAGGTTACTGGAAAGACAAGAGAAGTCGAGACAGATGTCAATGCCTGCGGCATCCAACCCTAATTCACCATCTCAATCGACATCCGGCCCATCGGCTGCTGCAGATGGGGGCGAGATGACCCCTCAAAGCTCACTTACCTCGCCCAAGGATGATAAACGCAAGTCAGCAACACCAGCTCCGTCGACAGCTCCATCGACAGCTCCGGCACCAGCTGCGAATGTGGACGATATCAAAAAGGAAGACCAGGAAGAAGTGGAGGCTCTTTCAGAGTTGATGTGTTCTTTGGTAACAAATAATTTTGGAGAGACCAGATACATTGGTAAGTTACTACACTGTATATGTGTGAACACCTTTACTGATTTACTGCAGGATCGTCATCTGGCTTCTCCATATTTTCACCAAAGGGCGTTTCGTGGGTAAATTCGAAAACAGGGGATGATTCTTTTCAACGGACCATATCGGATATATCTGTCGATGACCACAAATGGACTAACTGGAAACCTGAAGTCTTTGGCGACCTATTTCAACGACCGATCTTCCGGCCTCTGCCCCCCAAGCCTGAGGCACTTTCACTTCTCCAGGACTTCTTCGACAACTTCAATTGCATCTTCCCCCTATTTCATCGGCCGACATTCATGCACCTAGTACACCTTCAATACTCATCAGACCCTTACCAAGGCTCTGGATGGTGGGCTAGTCTCAACTGTGCGCTCGCGATTGCCCATCGTTTGCGAGTTATGAGCAATCTGGTACCACAGGATGAGGACGAAAAGGCGTGGGGTCACTTGAAGAATGCCATCGGAGTGTTTCCCGAGCTGACCATGCGCAACACCGATTTGTTGAGTGTCCAGGCTCTCCTTGGTATGGCTTTGTTCTTGCAAGGAACGCCAAACCCTCAGCCCACTTTGCTGCTGGTCTCAGCAGCCATGCGCCTGGCGCACAGTATCGGTCTCCATAAGCGCGGGACTGGTTTCAACCTAAACCCCATAGAGATTGAGCAACGGAAGAGAGTCTTCTGGATCGCATATATGCTAGACAAAGATCTCTGCCTCCGAGCCGGTCGTCCACCTGCCCAGGACGATGACGACATGAACGTTGAGCTTCCGGATGCTGACCCGGAGGACAACATTGGCAATATCCCCTTGGCAGATGGCAAGGGTAAGATGAATCTCTTCCGGGTTATGTGTGAGTTTGCCACTATCGAAAGTGAAGTCTATAAGAGGCTGTACTCTGTTCAAGCTACAAAGCAATCAGATGGTGAGCTACTCCATACCATTGGCGAGCTGGACCACAAGTTGGAAGAATGGAAGGATCGCATACCGATTGACTATCGGCCCGAGCACGACATCAATGCCTCGCACACTCCTCTGATTCTTCACGTTGTCATGTTGCATCTTACCTATTATAACTGCCTGACAACCATTCACCGCATGTCAGTTGCCCATGGACTCTGGACTAGTCGACTGGCCAATTATGCCATTCAAGGTCTGAATGCCCGACCACTCAACCCGCGGGTGTTTTCTTCTGCAGCACTATGCACGGCTGCAGCACGAGCTTCTGTCTCGTTGCTAAAATATGTGCCTCAAGGCGATTTTGCCTGCGTTTGGTAGGTTTCGAGCTCTCATCACACTAGCGATACACTAACATCACTGTCAGGATGATTCTTTATTTTCCTGTTTCTGCACTGGTGACGCTGTTTGGAAATATCTTACAGAACCCACTCGATCCCCGAGCAAAGTCAGACACTCGACTCATGAACATTGTGGTCACCTTCCTCTCCATGCTTGGACAGGAGGCTGAACAGGGCGGTGTGCATCGAATGCTCGGTATATGTGCTGAGTTTGAGCGTATAGCAAAGGCTGTAATCGACAAGGCTGAAAAGGAACAGTCTTCTCGACGCAAGCGTAAGAACCAGGATACAAATAAATCATCTACCAACGCTACTACGGCTACGGCTACGGCTCGACAGCCTAGCACTGCAGAATCAGCAACAACTACTTCGGTGTCTTCTAATTCTCAGAGAAGATCATCACAAGCCCAACTATCGCCTCCCCAGAACGGTGCTTCGATGGGACAGTTCTCTATGGGTAGTCCAATGAACGACCCTTCTCCTTCGGCAATGTCAGCTGGTTGGCCTCAAGAGTTCCCGGTGCCTCAGTCGGGCGATTTTGACTCAATGAATTATGGCGACACAAACATGAATTCATCCCCGCAGATCCCAGTAGCGGCATTCCAGCAACCCCTTCTTCCGCAAGACCTGTTCTCTCTGCCAATGACGCTAGATTGGAGCTGGGCTGAGATGACTACTGGCGCATACCCAACAGTTGAGAACGGCAACTTTGGAGAGGACTGTAACAATTGTTAAAGGATTTGAGAGTAGTGGGTGGCAATGCATTTTGAGATGCATGTATACCACGTGGTGAGAGGATGTAATGGCTGGGTGTAACGAGATATGCGCAATGATGCTACATACAAAGCTTGGAAGATGAGCGAGTATTGGTTTTTTCCCTTTCAAGTAACTACCTAGATCTGTTCTTTTTTATTTGCACCGGATACATACGAATACTAGCAAGCGATGAGTGTTAATGGTCAACCATCTTTGTGTACGGTCAACCTGATGAAACACGACCTCCTGGCTCGAAGCTCGGCTCATCCTCCTCACTCCCGTCGCCCCCTAGGTTGAGGTATTCTTCCTTGTTATCGCCTTCTGCATCGTAACTGAAGACAATTGTACGGAGTATAAGATCTGAGTCTTGCTCCTCTCGGTGAGTCGTCTTTTGGAGTTTTGTTCCTCTTCCTTTTTTTAGTATGGATCATGCGGCCCCAATCTGTAGCGTTGACTGTTGCTATATTGCGGTCTGGGTGTAAATCTGCTACCTCGTCCTCTTCTCCTGAATCTCGCCTTTGATATAACTGTCCAGCTCCTTGAGGTCTTTTTTTTTTTATTTTTTTTAAGCTAAAGCCCCAAGGTAGTGCCGTGACTGTATCTATTTTGTCGAGGGCATGCTGACTCCTACTTTGTGATATCGATTGGTGGCAGTTGTAGGATCTCCTTGGATCCCTCGGCTGTTATTCACGTCAGGATTATCTTCAGGATCGCCGAATATTTCTTACTGGGCGCGTTTGACTGACTAGAAGCAGCGCTGTTGAAAAGCTCACTGGGAGTAGCATGGGCTGACCAGCGATGTCGAACTGTGTGTTGAGAAAGGTGTTCTGGTGGCTATGAATGTATGCCCTTACTTCTACTGATGAATAGCTTGGTTGGGTTGTATCCTTCTTCTTTGTCGCATCTAATTCGTCGATGATGACTATTGATACCATCTTGCCTTCTTGCTCGTAGAGGTCAGAATGTCGAGGCAGATGCCCATCGTAGGGTCGGGCAACCTCTAGTCCACGAAGGCGAGGTAGTGACCGATGAAAATTTGAATTTTATTCGAACCTATCATAAATATTCTAGACCTGTCCTAAGCATATCCTAAATATCATCAACTCGTCAAAGGAGCTTCATCCCTTAGGACTATCTCCTGGGCTCAGCATATGCATATTCTGATATGGAATGCCTGTGATGCTCAATTAATCTACGTATCTGTTTTCTTCTTCATCTTCTTCTGGCGTTCTCCATCATGCACACCATATAATATATTCGATACTTTTTGCGTTATTGTTGTAGTGTATGCCCGACTTCACTGTTGTAGCCGTCCATTGATGTTGGGATAGTCAACAACTTGTTTTGGTACGAGGTGAAATGGCATAAACAGGTCAAAAATTATACCTAAACCTTCTAGTATCTTGCCCAAACCCCTGACTATTGTTATCACCACTGCCCAGTGTCCGCGCCCCTCGTGCTAGGCCGTGTCGTCTTTTGAGAGAAATAAGAAACGTCGAAACATGCCTCCCCTACCCCCGAGTGACTGGCCAACCTTACCCATATGCCGCCTCTCTCCTTTGCCCAAACGCCATGCTCGTTGGGACGCACATGTCATGTGTCCGTCCCCTCAGAATGCAGAAGAGGAGGGAAAAAAAAGAAAACCCAAGATTGAAGATCAAAAGCCGACAAGGCTGTCAAAGCAAGGAGCACCGAGATTTTTTTGTTTGTGTAGCGTGTACGAGACCCAGGGAACAATGGCCTGTTGGAATCGTTTCGTAGTGTGTATACAAGTCGTGAAACATGAGACATGACTGGGCATCTACCGTCAAGATATTTCATGCGCCCACCATGCCAGGGCCGTAGCTTTGCTGGCGCATAGCACTCGGGTATGGCGAGGTGTTTCCCGGGTTCTTCTTGCGTCGCTTCTGGCCGCCCTCTCCCTCTCCCGTTGAGTAGCCCCCTTCCACGGCTGTGTCATCGTCAGGGTAACCTTCACCATAGCCCTCGAAACTGCTATCACCATATGTTCGCTTCTTCACGTTACGCTTTGGTCGGTTTGGATCGTTTGCTGAGGGCCCCTGAGCCTTTAGTCGTCCTACTGCACCAGGTACGTTGAGCGGAGTGTTGGGAGCGGTAGGTCTCGCTGACGAAGTTTGCTTTGAATCCAGGCCGGGTGACTGAAGTCCTAATCTTGAAGTATCCCAGTCCTTCTTGCCTATAGGTCCCTTGGCCATGGTTACTGCTCGTCCTAGGGTGGATAGACTTGCTTGTGATAGCCCGTGTTTGATGTTTTGACCCTTAACTATCGTATTATCCCAATCCTCATCAGGCATGTGCAGGATGTCGAAAAAGTCGGGTTTCTCGGCGTTAGAGTCCTTGTCTGTTACTCGCACTTTCCAGTTGCCGGCAATACCTAAGTTCTTCATATGGCCTGTGTAAGATGAACGCAATGCGTTCTTTTCGCCGTTTGGCTTCTCCCGAGCTACTTCGGCGGCGAGCCCACTGAGGTTGAACATGTCATAAAGATCTTCCGAGACGCGTGGTAAAGATTCCGGATGAGGAGTCTGGCAAAGAAGGTATTTCTTCCCCACATCGAGATGCAGGTCCTCAATGCCCAGCTTGCTTTCCTCGGTGTGAACCTTCTTCTGCTCGCGGTCGCCACTGTCATCCACAGAGCGCTTCCGCTTGTGGGGGGAGTCGTCGGTCATTGCAAGGTCGTGATGGGCGCTTCCAGTGACGCTGTGGGCGGGAGTCGGCAAGGTGGTTGGCGTGGCTGTGGAGGTCATTGAGGTTGTCACGCTTAACACGGGCTCCGAGGTCCCGGAGGAGAATTGCGATGGGCTCTGGGGAGTCTGAGGATGGAACGACATCGTGGACGACTCCACGAGGGAGATTTGTGGGCGAGAGTCGCGCCGGTCGTCGACCGAGAGTCGCTGCGCTCCGCTTCTCTCTTCAGCCGAACGTCATGCACTGCACTGGGTTTTCCTCGGGACTCGGTGAGCGGTGCCGGCGCGGCGCGGGCAGATAACAGTCTTGTAGTGGTCTTTGCAGAGTTCGAGGGAAGGAATCGACGGATTTTTAGGAGAAATGGGCGAATGTCGCTGGCGCAGAGCGAGGGTTTGACGTCGAATAGGGCGATGTTAGGTTGGGATGTCGGAGGTTGAATCAGGGTCGGGGGCGAGAGGTGAGGTGTGGACTGTGTGGAGTGTTTGGAATGAGGGAGAGGCAGAGAGTGATTTGAGCCTGAAAGACAAGGCATTTTGGTGAGGTGGGTCTGCCGGTTGTCAGTCCTGTCAGCAAAACGGCCAGGCTGAGGTGCTGTTCACTGGCTACCTAGACTAAGGGCTCTTTCAGTGGCCTTTCGGCTCACTGACCACTTCTCGGTACTATCATCCGCTAATCTGAGTGGCTGGCCTGAACCTGGCAGCCAGAACAAAGACAAAAGAACGTACTCCGTACATACTGTACATACAGCCTTCCTGCCCGAGTGATCGCAGCCATTCATTGGCTTGACTTCTGCACTGTCGCATTCAGCTCCACAAAGACGGTGACACCGAATCACGTCTCGGCCTGTGAACTGTGTCGGAGCATACCAATCTTGAGTTCTCATATCAGATTAATAGTTAGTTTGTATTAGTTCGAACAAAGCAGCATCGTCCTGACAAGTTTGTGCTCCCTTTGGTCTTTCCCTATCTTGTTCATTCTTTAGTCAACACTTTGAAGGTAGTAGTGGCAAGCAGGTAAGAGTTTGTGCCCAGGCAGCTCAATAAGTAGTAATAGGTCAGCAATAGTTGTCTAAACAGAATCTTAAGCCCGAATACCCTGATGACATGGAGATCATTGAACTGTCCATCTTAATCGGGTCAAATGAGTGTAAACATATCGTATGATCATCTAAAGACCTTGGAACTCTCTTACTGACGTAGATGTGCATGCACGCTGCACAACAGCCTTTTCGCTGATAGTTTATCAACCAGGAGAGAAACCCTGATTACACAGTAAGCAGAAATTATCTTTATGCCAGAAGGAACATAGAATAATTAGTAGTTAATTTATAAACCGATATCCTAAGCGATAAAGATTTAAGGAACTTTTATATAGCTTAATAGGTCTTTAGACAGTTAGTTATTGCTAGCACTGTGACTAAATAGATGCGAAGAGTTCCCCTGCTCCCCGAAGCCTGATAGTTTTGAGGGAACCAACAGTTGGACATTTTAAATGGCTTTTGGTGTTGTTTGAGATGATGATGCTGTTGTATCTCCACTACCTGGGCACGGCCGGGAGCGGCTGAATGATAGCATCACGTGACTAAGTCGCGTTGATAAGATCTCGTTCAACCCGCCAAATTTTTCCCTCTTCTTTCATACAAACAAGACCACCACCATCCCTCAACAACTGTCAGCTTGCTCGATCCTACACTGCTGTAACATCTTGGGATGTGTGGTCGAGAGCACACTTCAGTAACCTTGCCTAAAACCATCATCACGAGGGCCCCTTGTGCGGCTACCATGATGTGATGATGACCTGATGCAAGTGACATATCCTCAACCTTTTGGGTCATTTATTGCCTCACTTCAAAGACAACAATAGAGACTCATTGACTGGTCCATTGACTGTGATATCGTGCGCGGCGTGAATCACTATTGTATCTATTTACCCTCAACTACTCCTCTGTAAGTTCCGATAATGATCTGGTTCATGCTATCGGTACCGTGATGACGCCCAACATCTGGTAAACCTAGTAGCCTTGTCTGTTGTTTCCAGTTCGATGTATATCATCACTGGTAACCGCCTGGCTGCTGTTAGGAAAACTGGCTTGTCTGACTTTAAAGAGCTTGCATTAGTCTCCAGGGTTCTGTTCAGAAATTGAAGCAAGGCTAATTCTTAGCATCTGCTAGATCCCAGATCATCACTACATATTAGTACGGGAGGTTAATTCTTTCTATGATACAAGACAATTTTTGTATATGTTGTTGCTTTATAGCATTGCTACTTATTAGCAATTGACATCGCCCTCAAAGAGCAAGCAAGAAAACCTCAGATCTCAACAAAAGATGCCAGTGATAAACTCGCGAAAAAGCCCATTAAGCTTGTAATGGTCCATCTAGATCTCATTGTCATGCAGATATGTGATTGTCTCGCCTTAGCTGTTAGAATGCGACTGGCCCGAATTTGCTAGTGTTCGTGACCGAAAGACAAGTTCTAAATAACATTTACTAGTTAAAAGGGTTCTGAGCGATATCTCATTGCACAACCGGGAGATTGATCAGGTATCATGTCTCCAGCTGGCTTGAGTGCATCTCGGTTCAGGCTGCCATTGAGGCCGGTAACTTAATGATATTGACGAAATAAAGCTTTGCTGCCTGTAAGGCAATGAATATTTAAAATTATAGTAGACTTAGAGATACTTGGCTCCCTTTTGAGGCTAATATATAAACTTGAAAAAAATATATATTAGATAAATATTTCTTAGAATTTATATTTATTCTTTAGAATAAGCTATTAACGGTTATGCTATATAGGCTAATTACCTAACCTATACTTAAGAGTAAAAAAATATTAGACCTTAATATAGAATATTAAAATAAATACAGTAAAAGATATCTTAAATTTATACTAAGTTACCTAAGTCTTTTATTATTTAGGGTTAAGATCCTAAATTCTTTCCCTCCCCTAGCCTATATTGAGTATATTCTTACTATCAAGTTGCTTAACCAACATCAAAAGGGAACAGAAACCAGTCTGCCCAAAAACATACCAAAACAATGATTGCGCCCTCCACTTTTCACTAAATCCCAGCTTTAGATGCAACATCATGCTATTTAACTTACTCCCTGAACATAAGAAAGAGTCATGATCGTTACCAGATACCCAAATCATCAATTCTAGATAAAACATCATACGCCCTTAATGCACCCGGTGCACTTCGTAATGCAAACTAGACTAAAAATTCAAAGAGAGGAAAGAATTAACAGAGAACAGTAGGTACTGGAAATAAAAGAAGTAAAGGCCAAATCGAACAGTGTGAAGGAGAAACATATACTCCCCTATGAAGGATCCCAGACGGCATATGGGCTAGGCATAGAGTAACGACATTCTGTAGAATTCGCCCACAAGCTGTTTGAAGTGTCGGCAACTTGAAACTGCTAGACTAGGACTTGACTATTGGAGTACACTGGCCACGGCCCCCCCATCGATGGCCATCAGATTTCTGTTCTGTGGATTTGGTTCTCGGGAGGAGCCCTCGAGCCGGGAACTGAGTTTGCATCGTAGCCACTCATGGCAACAGAGGGGTTGCTGAGTGGCGCAGGGTGGTAGACAGATGGGTGTCGGTCTGAGAGGTTCGGGCTTGTGTTCCCCCCTCTGTAGGAATAGTCAACTACATCACCTTTCCATGGCATATTGGGTCGCAGCGGCGACTGTGAGGATTCCGATCTGGCCCTGCAGAGGGGATCGCGAAGCAGAGGAGGCGGGATGGGTTGGGGGCTCGATCGGTGAATTTCAACAGGAGTTCCAAGCCCATGGTTTTGCGCAAATGGGTGCGATGTTCTCGGGCTGCCTGTCAGAGGGGCTGCGAAGTGGCCGCCATATGGATATCGGTCACTCGGAGCTGGTGAAAGTGGCGATGCAAGACCTGAGCTTGTCAAACTGCCGGCCGGACTGTAGCCCATCCCACCAAATCCTGGGGTCATGGTGGTCGGAGAAGCATGTTCGCTTGTATCATGCCTTCGTCCGTCGACGATCAAGGGTCTTATCATGTGCTGGGCATACGATTGTGTATTGAAATGTCCTGGTGAGGGCATAGGGGCATTCATGCCATGGACTGCTCCGTAGGGGGAATGAAGTGCCTGGACGTTGTCGAATCCCTCAGGGACTGCTCTCATCTTTATCATACGATCGCGATCATCAGCGTTCAGACGCTTGATTTTGGCACGTCTGTCACACGGGTTAGCGAGGACTATGTCGGCAATTAGTGTGATGATTAACTACCTGTTCTGGAACCAAACTTGGACCTGGCGCGAACTGAGGCCAGGGATCTCCCGTGAGAGCCGCTCACGGTGTGCCGCATCTGGGTGAGGCTGTTTTGCGAACTCACTCATGAGGAACCGCGTTTGCTGGTGGGTGAGTCTAAACCAATAAGCTCTTGCCTTGAACGAGCAGCGCGTACACTGACCTAAATCGCTTCATCTTACGTCGAGCAGCCGCCCTTTCTGCTGGAGTTTGGGCTGAATGCTCTCCCTCCCCGTCAAGCATATCGTCATCATCGAGGTCGTCCTCCTCTTCATCCTGTGGCGAGTCGATTCTTGCTCTTTGGCTGGATTGAGTGGACGAGAGGTCGTTTGGTTGGCGACTTGGTGGCACGAAAGTACTGTTAGTGGCAGTTTTCGGGGTACCGATCAGCCCTAAGTTAATCATGTCCTCCATATCTGCGGTACTGGGTTTCATCCCGTAGCTATCATTTTGAAGGACCGAGTCCCTGGGCCCTGGCAACGACATCCTACCTCGGTCTATCGTCTGGAAAGGGGGTGAGTACATCTGAGTCGCCCCGGGTCTCATGTGAATTCCCAGAGCATTGCCTCTGTTTTCTGCCGGGTGGCGCATTAGGGAAAGTCTTGAGGCTTCGTTCCGTGGTTGATGTTGCTGTGCAGGTCCACTACCACTGTGGGAAGTAGTTGGATTGTGTGCTTGCCAGCTCAAAGGGGCCGGCAGCTCGACATTGACATCGTAAGGATTAGACATGCGAGGGCTTGTAGAAGTAAGAGATGCTTCGTATCTGCTGAATGGCCAACGGCTATGCTCTGTCTCGTACTGCCTTGTGACAAGCATTTGGACGATGTGTTGAAGGGGGACAAGCCCAACTTAAATGAGA